GGAGCCCTGCCTGCCTCAAGCCTTCCACATGCCTGTTTCTTAACTGGCCTCCCAGCAGCTATTCATCACTCTCATACAGAAGAGAGGGTGGCTTTCTTGCCCATGGCAAGATGGAGCAGAAATGCCATCCTTTCCATGGTTCCCGGAGCCCTGCAAAGGGGCTTTCTCTGATGCGTGCAGACTGCTGTGAACGTCTGCCATGGGATTGTTGCTTGATTTTTTTTCATGCTTGCCTAGCCAGTGTTCCAGGTGCAGATCTTCATAGCAACTGCCCTGAAAGCCCTAGCAAGGGGGACATTAACAAGGGAGAGTGGACTTCTAGTTAGTGAATGTAGATGACAGATGTTTTAGAAAAGGAAACGAACACTTGGTCCTTTAGAGCCTAATATACTGGATGTTTGCTCCCTTTTTATAGATTCCTTCTGGTTTTTAGAAAGTTGAGTCCTTCTGGGGACCCACTCACATGGCTTTGACAATGTCATCTCTCCAGGGGAAAGTGTCTGCAGCGTCATTTAGGGAGTCCCTGACTCGCATGTGTGACTTTTGCTGTTTTAATTACCTGCCTCCCTTTTGCAATTCAGCTTGTCATGTTTCTCTAGGAGAGTGTTTGCTTCCTATCTACTGAATCATTCCCTTGGTTTTTGCTCTGTATCTCAAAGAATGTTTGCTGGAATACTTCTGTGGTAGTAGGATCTTGTCAAATCATGCACTAAAAACAGAATATGACTCACCCTTTTTTATTGCTGACTGAGTTGTGATGAGGCTTTTTCTTTCTAAGAAGTGTTTAAATTACCACGTAGTTTAGGAATCATGGACAGTAACACTAAAAATTTCATCTCTGTGGGACAGGAGTTGGGCATGTAGTTTAATGACGAATAATTTTTGAATTATTTGAATTCCAAATAAAAAGAAAAAGAAAAAATATTAAAATCATAGCACCCAGCACATTCTTTTTAATGTAGAAGTTCTCAGCAGCTGGCAGAAATGCATCTATTTAGAAGACACAGGCAAAACAGGTGACAGGTCAGGGCGTCATCTGGAGGCCTGCGTCTGGGCTAAGTGACCTTCGTTCTGAAGCTGCCGGGTGTAGTAAACATGAAGATGAACCCATTTCTCAGGCCCCATGCTGGGTACTTGCTGCAGCCCTGCAGCTCCTTACCCTTGCCCTTGACCTGGAAAGGTCAAGAGTGTAAATATATAAGAAGACTGTCCGCTTCTCTTTTAATGGAAGGAGGTTGGTAAACAAAGCCTTATGGCTTTGGAATGGAATTTTTCTCATTTCCTAAAAATAAATGGTAGTCAGAAGTAAAGTATGCTCATCATGAACTGGTCCCAAGCAAGTGTTTGGTTTAGCCAGAAGGTAAATGGGCAAACAGCATGAGCCGACAGGTTGCAAAAGAGGAAATGAAAAAGGGTATTTGATAACATGTGGTAAGACCTTTTTCACTGTCCACCTGCTTATGCTATTTTTAGTGAAAATAATATGAGATTGTATATTTACTATGATAAAATAGAAACTTATACATGTGTTAGGTGGAAATGTTCACAGAAGTTGAGGTGTCGAAAGTGATTTCAGAGGAGTGAGATTGCAAGTGATTTGAAGGCGCTTCTTGTATGTTTTTACATCCCTTGTGAATTGTCTACAAAGAGCATGTCTTGATATATAAAAATCATGAAGGAAAAAATATGCAAGAGCCTGTCCTCAGGAAGAAGAGGCAGGGGAGGGGCCTTGAGGGAGACAGAGTCTTCCTGTGCAGAGGCGTCTCAGAGCCACTTGCTCTACTGAGCAGGTACTCCTTCAGCCAGCACTTGAATCAGACTCTGTGACAGTTCAAAATGTAGGTGCTCTGGCCTGGCCCTGGGCCAGGCGATGAGGGGGAGATGGATGCCCCTGTCCACCACAGGGGAAGAATCACACTTTTTTTTTTTTTTGGACACGGAGTCTCGCTCTGTTGCCCAGGCTGGAGTGCAGTTGCGTGATCTCAGCTCAGTGCAACCTCCACCTCCCTGGTTCAAGTGATTCTCCTGCCTCAGCCTCCCGAGTAGCTGGGACTACAGGTACGTGCCACAACACCAACTAATTTTTTATATTTTTAGTGGAGACGGGGTTTCACTGTGTCAGCCAGGACGGTCTCTATCTCCTGACCTCATGATCCGCCCGCCTTGGCCTTCTAAAGTGCTGGGATTATAGGTGTGAGCCATCTTGCCTGGCCAGAATCGCACTTTTTTAGAGGTGTGCCCTGCCACTCCCTCAGGATTAGAGGAGAGTGGAGTAGACATTGGGACCTGTTACCACCACACTTTCACATTATTGCTTTCCTGGAAGTAGATTGTTGACATTCTGTGTCCTTGCTACTTTAACAAAGTGTTTTAGCATGCCTATTAGGGACTTTCATGGAGAGTGCACCAAGACCCCTTAGCAGATAGCATGCTCGCAAATGTCACTATCCTGTAAATGTCTTGAGATAGACATACTGAGGGATCTTGGCAGCTTTTTCTGGGAAGTAATTTACCTTTACTCTGCCTCGTAAGACCAGTCTTGTGCCGCGGAACTTTGGGGCAGGTCCAGCTTCTGTATTCTTCCATGGGCCCACTTCACAGGGCCACAATATGTTTTTAGTTGCTGTGGGGGTGTTTTTGTTTTTTTGTTTTTTAGACAAGATGACACTGTAGCCTGGAACTTCTGGGCTCAGGTCATCCTCCCACCTGAGGCTCCCAAGTAGCTGGATCTACAGGCGTGTGCCACTTTGCCCGGCTAATTATTTTATTTTTTTGTACAGATGAGGCCTTACTATATTGTCCAGGCTGGTCTCAAACTCCTGGCCCCAAGCCATCCTTCTGCCTCAGCCTCCCAAAGTACTGGAATTACAGGCACGCAGGGCCATACCCAGCTTTGTCATTTGAATGGCTGGGATGCCCCACTTGAAGAAAGCTTATATGTTAAGAAAACTAAGCTTGGCCAGGCGCAGTGCCTCACACCTGTAATCCCAGCACTTTGGGAAACCGATGCAGACAGATCACAAGGTCAGGAGTTTGAGATCAGCCTGGCCAATATGGTGATACCCCATCTCTACTAAACATACAGAAATTAGCTGGGGGTAGTGATGGGCACCTGTAATCCCATCTACTCGGGAGGTTGAGGCAGGAGAATCATTTGAACCTAGGAGGTAGAGGTTGCAGTGAGCCGAGATAGTGCCACTACCCTCCAGCCTGGGAGACAGAGCGAGACTCTGTCTCAAAAAAAAAAAAAGAAAAAAGAAAAAAGAAAAAATGAAGCTTTAAAGGAGGGGATGGTCAAATGCATATCCCAAAATTTTTTGCTACTTTTAGTGAAAAGAATATGAAATTGTATATTTACTGTGATAAAATAGAAACTGTTTTATGGTCGGGTGCAGTGGCTCTGGGCAGCCGAGCTCTGGAGTCCCTGCTGTTGACTTCTATTCTGTTAACACCTGAGGGAGACAAACCTGGCTGCTGGCCTGCCTCATACATAAGTGCATAAAGCTGGTAGTTTTGGTGGACTGCAGCGAGACTGTATAGGCACAGGTAAATAGAAGTATGAGAGAAACTTAATCAGATGATTAAATGACAAGTTCTGGAGAGGAATTTTCTAGATCTCTAGATCAGGACCTGGAAGAAAGCTGTGGGGAAACCCCTTCCTTTGTCACTTCCTTCCTTATTTTGTGCTTTCAGGGCTGGGCAGCCTGAATCATAGTCCCTTGGTCAGTCTGTTTGCCAGGGATCAGGTTGCCAGGTGTGAGCCAAATGTACCCAGGGATCGGGGGTAAAGTCACCCCCATTTGAGAACCCCTGCCTTAGATAATGTGTAATAAATGCTTGCTAAAGTAACAGGCTGAGTATCTTTCAAGTTCTTCCTATTTCTCTGGGCACTGTCAGTGGGCACAGAGGGACATGGGTGGGACACCTCCTGCCTCCCCTGGACGCTCTTCCTGACAGCCACTGGGCATCTCCGAGCACACAGAGGCCCCCTGCCCACACACTGCCGGGGCCTTGCATCACTGGCTTTAGGCCTGGGCCTGGGAACTCCTCTTTCTTGGACTGTATGGGTGAATCTGAGCTCTGGCTTCAGGAACAGATAAGCCATGTAAATTACAGAGTAAGCATATGGGACAGCCTCAGCTTTGTAGAGAATTTCTTGCCCAGTCAACATTTTCCTTACTTCCAGTAAGTTAAATCCGTGGAATGTCTTTTCTTGGTGAGAAGTGATGGCCTGGCCTTGGGTACAGTCTGCTTTTGGATAAATTGTGTTGGCCCGACTCGTGTCTTTGCTCCCTTTCCCTTTCTCTCCAGAAAGGACCTAAGTGTGAAATACCCCGAAGATGTCCCCATCACCCTTCCAAACCTGCTGAGGTTCATTTTGCATCACTCAGACCCTGCTTCCAGCCCCCAGAATGTGGCTAACTCTCCTACCAAGGAGTGTTTTCAGAGCGAGGCAGTCTTACAGCGGGGGCACATCTCCCACTTGGAGAGAGAGATCCAGAAACTGAGAGCAGAAATAAGCAGCCTCCAGCGAGCACAAGTGCAGGTGGAGTCCCAGCTCTCCAGTGCCCGCAGGGATGAGCACCGGCTGCGGCGGCAGCAGCGGGCCCTGGAGGAGCAGCACAGCCTGCTCCACACGCACAGCGAGCAGCTGCAGGCCCTTTACCAGCAGAAGACACGTGAGCTGGAGGAGCTGGCCCGCAAGCTGCAGGAGCTGGCCGATGCCTCAGAAAACCTCCTCACCGAGAACACGTGGCTCAAGATCCTGGTGGCCACCATGGAGAGGAAACTGGAGGGCAGGGACGGAACTGAAAGCCTGGCGGCCCAGAGAGAGGTCCACTCCAAGCAGCCTGAGCCCTCAGGTGCCCCCCGGCTACCTGGCTCCCCTCCACCTAGTGCCAGTGCCACACTGGCGTCTGAAAGGAGTAACGAGAATAGGACAGACTAACTTTTTAAATGACATGAAGAAATCAGAGGTGAAAATTGTACATTGGGAATATATTTATGCAAATTTTATTGAAATTTATTGTAAATAAAGATTTTCTCAGTGGTCTAGAAAATCAACTTGAATGTCATTCAGCATTTATTGAAGAGGGATGACATCCCTTCCACTTATTGCACAAACTTGGTAGCTTTGAGACAAAAACAGTAGCATAGTCCATTTGAATATTCGTCCAAAAAATTAGTCCATATTTTAGTGGCTCAGTGTCAAAAGTTCCCTCCCTGTCCCCCTACTGTTGCTTCTGCAGTGATACAAAGGATGAACGCTTAATTTCTTGATTAGTCAGAAAACTTGAATGCAACAGTTGGGCATTCATTCAGAAAGAATTCCAAGAGAGGTCATAACCTACTAAGCCATTTGAGAGAGTGGCTCTGGTGTCTATGCTAACAAAAAGTAGCTACTGAAAACACTAAGAACAGTGAGCGCTATGATGTGGTTCACTAGTTCTACAGGCATTTTCATTTTCCTCCCGAAGACCCCCTCTCCCCCAGTGCCTCACTTAGTCTCTGACCTTCACCCAACACAGCTACCATGCTCAAATGGGCCTGATTCAAACTCCCAAGTACGTTCCTGGCACCGGGGAGTGGGATAAGAAAGCTTCCAGAAGTGAAACTGATGAGAAAGTGATGCTTAATCACTTCAAAACCGAGACTTCACTGACAAGGTCAAAACCACAGGTCAAGTCTGATAATCGAGCACTGGTCAGTTCAGGGGTCAGGCTCGGAACCTGAAAATGCAGATCCTAGCTGCTCCTGTGTCCCTCGGGTGTGGAGGAAGGAAAAACAGCCTAGGGTATGTGCTGGCTGTGCTGAGAGTCGAGGTAGAAAGCCTGGAAGTTCTGAAACATGAGGGGATGGGTCACATGCCCGCCTCTGCCTTTCCTCATTTACCAAAGCAAACCTTCTCCCCCATCTTCCACCTTTGGAACTTCTGTTCTCCCTCCTAGGCCTGGTTTCAGTGGCCCCCGCCACATGTCCTGCCCACCCAGCCTGCAGGGCCTCTGCAGACATCACACCTGCCCCACCACCACTTCTTCTGAGCTTGTCCATGACGTCAGTGGATAAAGGTGTTGCCTCTTCTTCCTAAGGGCTCTCAAGAGCCCAGCTGAGGTGTTTCATTACTACCTTCTGCTCAGATGGCCCCGCCAGCCATCCCTCTGCCCACCCCAAGCTACTACTTAATGTTTAACCCTCCCAATTTAGGTGTATGCTGCTTAAAAGGGCTCCCTACTTCTCCTCCCTCGAGGTTCCAGAATGTGGATTCATTCAACACGCTTTTTAGAAGAGTCTTGGGTGAGTCCAGAGGAGGTTCCTCTAGCCTGAGCAGGAGGCCAGAGCTCTGAGCTCAGGCATTAAGGGCCAGCGTTCTGTGGTTAAGCCGGGGCTGGCCTTCCAAGGATGGCAGGCATGAGTCACATTTGAATCATAAATAAAATTACTGTGTGCTTACGGTGGTGGGATTAAAAATCAAAGTGAGCTCACTGAAGTGTACACAGGGGAGACCTTGGAGATGCTAGCTCACCTGAAAGCCACCAACTCACCACCTGTGGGAGAGTCAAGTCCTGAACTCAGCATTCACCTCTGCCCTGCCCCTTGCTGCAAGCACAGGCTGGCAGGAAGCAGTCTGGTGGCTCCTGTGGCAATGTGCATGTGAGAAGTGGTGTTCCCCGGGTCCTCAGTGCCTTCAAAGCTGGGTCAGGAGACGGGAGACCCACTGAGGACAGCGGAGTCAGGACCCTGCAGGCAGGTGGTTATCAGAGGAGAGGAAGCCCACTGGTGTGAAAAGGGAAGAGGGAAAGAAGAAAAAAGACAGAACTTCAACAGTCCCCTCCCCCTCCAGTGCAGAAACTAGGAAACACCAACACAAAACATAGAACTTTCTCCTTCCTGGGCCAACTGGGTTTCAGACCAAAAGCAGCCACCACAGGCTCTGGTGTTTCTATGAGGATCAAAGCAATTTCAGCGAAGCCTGCACTGCAGGGGGTTGCGGGGGACTCAGCATGCTGAAGACCAAAAGGGTGAGAAACTGCTCTGCTACAAGGATGCTGGCAGCCTCCGGGACTCTTGCCCTGACTCGCCCTTCAATGGCTCCCAGGCAGGTCCAGTAGCTTCCCTGCAGTAACTCCAATCTCAACAGGAACTGCTATTTAACATGGGAGTCTATCTGGAGAAGGAACAGGATGTGGGGGGTGTGGTTCCTCTTCCACCCATGACTAACCAAGCAGAAATCACCCAAGCACCCCAAATGATTGGCCACAGCCTTTACCACCAGGCCCAAACTGGCATCTCACTTCCTTGAAATACAGACAAGATGAACACACCTGGGACCCCTGCTGAGTGCAGCATGGGCCTTTACAAGCCTATGACCCTTCAGGGTCTTGACTCAGCTTGTCATGAGTACAACCAGAATCAAACCAGTCCCGTGTGCACTAGATGATATTTTAAAAAATCAGCAAAAGGGCTTAAGCACGTGCTTCCGGAGGCCTATTTACAGTTCACAGGTTTGTTAGTTCACGCATTACAGTAGTAGCTCCATCAAAAACAGGCTCAGCTAAACATTCAAGTAACAAAAGCGCTACGGGGCTGTGAGCCCCAGCAAGGTCAGGCCTGCCCACTGCCTGCAATGGGCAGCCTCACCCGGAGGCTGAGGGGAAGCCCAGGACAGCTGGGCCTTGGGGCGTCAGTGCATGCGATGACGAAGCCTGCAGAGGCCATGCCAGCAAGTGTCAGCCCTTCCTCTCAGTCAGCAGCACGTCCGTGTGGTTTTGCCCCTCCCAGCGCCTCTCGGCTGGCTGCAGACAGGACCAGGAGCCTCCCATCCTGGCTCAGCCATGGACTTCCGGGCCATTGGTAGTCATCAGCTTGGCCTTTCTCTCCACGCACGGTCCTTTGGCCGAGTACTGCACCAGCAGGAAGGGCTCCTTGGTTTCCCCATCCCCCACGATGCTCTCCTCGTCCTCCGACTGGCTGATGCGCTGCAGCCGCAGGTAGCACCAGCAGCCCAGGATCAAGGCCCCCAGGGCTGCGATGGCAATGAGGATGACGATGACTGTGACCACGCCCGTGGTGGGGCTGTGGTCCATAATAGACATGGTCAGTGCTGGGGGCTTCCTCGGCCGGAAGTGCTTTGGGAGTGGCCACTCAGTGAGGCTGGAACTCAGGCTGGGCACAGTAGTCCTGAAAGACAAAGCAGGTGAGGTACAGGGGGGCCTCCGCCAGGGACCCAGACCACCCGTGATCTGCAGCTGGCCCTTCCACAGGGTCTATTTTTAATCGTTCTTAGACCTGCCCATCACACCCTCACCCTGCTAAAAAGTATGCTGGCCAGCATTCGAAGACGTCCGCTCGCGGGTGCTCACCCAGCTCCTGCTCACAACCTTTGAAACCCTGAGCGCTGCTGTACCAACCAGGCGAGTCACCCTCGCTGGCTGCAAAGCCGTAACACTGCAACAGCAGCAGCTGCAGCAAAGGCTGCCAGAGAGCCAGGCGCGGTTCTGATTCTTCTCTTGAAGGTACACCTTTGAGAAGCCCAGCCCCCCTACTCAATGTTCATGACCACAAAGGGACTGACGTCATGAGAAATGACCAGGCGCGGTGGCTCACACCTGTTAATTCCAGCACTTTGGGAGGCTGAAGTGGGCAGATCACCTGAGTCCAGGAGTTTGAGACCAGCCTGGCCAACACAGCAAAACCCCGTCTCTACTAAAATACAAAAATTAGCTGGGTATGGTGGTACCTGCCTGTAATCCCAGCTACCCAGCTACTCGGGAGGCTGAGACACAAGAATTGCTTGAAGCCAGGAGACAGGGGCTGCAGTGAGCCAAGATCCCACCACTGTACTCCAGCCCTCCAGCCTGGGCAACAGAGCAAGACTCTCTCCATCCAAAAAAAAAAAAGCTGAGAAATGACATCAGTCCCTGCCCCAAACAGACATCATATACAGAACAGTCAGGTCCTTTGGGGACATCTGTGAGAGGGTGTAGTGGACAACACCCTTTGCCACCAGGCACTGCAGCTGGCCTGGGAAGACCCCTGGAACTCGGCACACCATCTGAGGAGGAAGCTGGGCAGCAGAGTCCCTTGTACGGCTTGGGCCAAGGCCAACCAAGCAAGTAACAGGGTAGAGTGTACCGGGAGATGGAGACAGGCACTTGGAGAGCTTCAGGGAGGCAGGGAGGGTGGGACAGAGACTCCCCGCCGACAGAGCTTAGCATCTAGCCAGATCGCAACAGGTCAGTACCCCAGGTGCGGATGCGGGTCACTCACAATGCAGGGTACCATGTCAGGAACACAGTGACCAGGTACCACGATGCTAAACTGGGTGGGCAGGTGGGAGGCAGGGAGGCAGTGCTGATGGGTTAGAGCAGGCGTCCCCAAACTACGGCCCGGCCGCATGCGGCCCCCTGAGGCCATATATCCCGCCCTCCGCCGCACTTCAGGAAGGGGCACCTCTTTCATTGGTGGTCAGTGAGAGGAGCACAGTATGTGGCAGCCCTCCAACGGTCTGAGGGACAGTGAACCGGCCCCCTGTGTAAAAAGTTTGGGGATGCCTGGGTTAGAGTGTTCCTGGCAGGGGGAACGGCGAGGGCTAAGGCTCTGAAGGCAGAGCGGGTCCCCCTGGAAAGTGCCAGGAGTCAGACACCAGCTGGTTTGGGTGTGGGCAGGGACAAGGCCCCTCCCAGGCCAGGACAAGCCTTGCTCTGCATGTTGAGGAAGTGATGCCAGAACTAGGAAGGCCGGGACCACCACGTCCACCCGGCCGAGCCACGGAGTTCATCCATGCATGCGGCTGCCGCGTGGCTCAGGACAGTGCGGCTGTGGGATGCACACAAAGACTAAGAGTCCCCTGCCCCAGGCGCCCTGTCAATCCTCTAGGCGACACCCAAGGCACAACCAGTGACAGCACGCTGAGGCCAGGGCTTTGCTGCTGCTGCTCCTTGGTGCTGAGGCTGGCAGGCTCTCCGGCGTCCCAAGATAACCTGCCCTTTCTTCCCTCTTCTGCCAGAGCAAACACACTGCACCTGGGGTCAGTGAGGATACGCAGGCCTGAGACACGTTCCGCACGGGACTGGGCGCGCAGTCGGCACTCAGGACTAGACGTCTGGCTTCTTTTTGTTCCCTTTGGATGAGATTGACATCAGCACAGGTAGACAGCCCTGGAAGGAGATTTTCCCTCCAAACAGGATCGAACCTGCTGCATTCTTGAGCAACAGCAGCCTTAAGGAGAAATGATTCTTACCCAATAGGAGTTTCCCCAGAAGCCAGGTTTGCCTGAAGGTCAAAGGCAGCCAGCCGAGTCAGCGCCCCCAGCACCTGTCCAGGGTCCAGGCCCCGGGAAACCGGCAGCCTTGCAGAGGGCCTGGGCAGAGGAGGTGAGCTCCCTCCATTCCACTGCCTTTCCCCTGCCTCTAGGGGCCAGGCTCCTGCAGGCACTAAGGATCTCCCTGTCCACCCCCAAAGGCCACTGCAGCTAGGATGCCTTCCAAGTTCTAACAATGACCTGCAGAAGCAAACACTACACATCCCCAACATGCCCTGCTTGCCGGCCATGCTGACCCCCCCACCCTCCCACCAGGCCCTGGCCCAGGCAAGTTGCTCCTGCCCAGAACATTCTGCTGGTTTATCCTTGTTCAGTGGTTCTCAATTGGGGGTCACTGTGTTCCCAACCTGGGGACATCTGGCCATGTCTGGAGCCACTTCTGCTTGTCACAACTGGGGGAAGGTAGCACTCCTGGCATCTGGAGAGATTATGGATGCTTCTGGCACCTACCATGCACAGGGCAGCCCCCACCCCACAGATGGCCCGGCTGGAGAAAGAAACCCTGACCTTGTTAATGCCAGCTCCGGCAGGGAAGTCTTCCCAGCCTGGAAGTCCAGGTCGGGCTCCTTCCCTCCAGAGCAGTGGCCTTGGTGTGCAGCACTAGCTTCTAGTGCACGTCCACCTGATTAGCGCCCACCTCCCCCTCCAATGGGCCATGAGCTCCACTGTGGACCTGCCCTGTCCCCTGCATGCACAGACCACCCTGGCCTCTCTCCTGCCACCATCAGGTCCCACGACCCTGCTCAGCTGTCCTCTCAGGCCTCCAGACTGGACAGGGGACCCCCTGACCTCCTGGACAGCCTGCCCACCATGGCTGGGTGAGCCTGTGTACACTCATCCCAACCTCTGCGTTCTCTTCCTGCAGGGATAACACCTGCCTAGCCCGTGCCTCCCACCACCCTCTCTCCTGCACCTCTGGTCCACAGGGCCTGCTAAGGCGCCTGCCCTCCCCCGGGACTTCTGGACAGGAAGACAAGTCAGCATCAGTTCGGAAGGGGAAGTGTGTGTGTTTAGCAGTGGGGGTAGTTCACGGACAGGAAGTACAAAATCAAACAATGACACCATGACCTGGGGTAGGCGGAGAAAAGCCAGGTGGGCAGGCCAGGTCGAAGGGCCCTAGTTCAACCAGGACTAATGAGGAAACTGAGGCACAGGCAGCCCAGCTCAAAGGGATTCTCTAAGAGGAGTGGTGACCTCAAAACCCTGTCTGCTGCCCTCACCCCAGGCCAGGAGATATGGGCAGAACCAGGTGCTCTGCCCCCGTGAGCACAGAGCCCAGGGACTGAGCCACAGTCACGCCTGGCCTGTGGCCTGACCCTCCCGAGTGCATATCTGTTCCTTTGTTCACTCAGCAAATGTTTCCTGAGAAACCATCTTTGCAAAAATGTGATGACATAATCCCCGCTCAGAACCCTCCCTGGCACCAGAAAAGAATCCAAGCCTCCTGCCTCCCCAGGTGTCCCCACGCCCTCCGCTGCGAGCCCACACTCCCACCTCTGCCCTGACTGCCCCGTGGCTGCAGCCTTCCTATTCGGGACTTTCTTAGAAGGTGCCTCTTGTAGGCTGCCCTTCCAGACCACCCTGGCCCCAGACCCCCCTCCTCCCATGCCCCCACTGCAGCTGTGCCCTACTTCATTTGCTCTCTGTGCTACCTGCCCTTCTCTAGGCTCAGGGCCTGTCCCCTGGCTGTGTCTCACTCCCCGAACTGGACTCCAAGGCTGTCAGAAGAGGGCACCATCTGTCCCGCCTATGGCTGTACCATGCCCTAGCATGGGCACACAGTAGGTGCTCAGTAAATGTCAGCTAAGTGTTCCCAGCCTGAGGAGGCAGTGATGAGTTGGAGAAGATCCTGTTCCCACGGGGATCACAGGCGGGGGTCCATGACGCCCAGCGCACTCACAAGACCCTGAGCACAGGCCCCCATGTTTTGTCCCACCAGACTCAAGCCGGCAGCCTGCGTGGGAGGACAGGCCTATGCCCAAGTGCGGGGGCAGAGTGGTGAACGCCAGGATTCAGGCAGGCTGAGCCCATGGAGGGACAAGCTGGCTCCATGCTTGCTGGCAGGCAGGGAGGGAAGGGGGTTACTGAGAAGCAGAGCCCGGGGAAACTCAAAGCATAGAGGGTAGCAGGTCTCCAAGAGCCCCGGTGCCTGGCTGGGCCCCACCTGCCTGCTCTCTCTCTCCCGCCCCTCTGAGCAAAGCTGTGTCTTACAAGCTGAGTAACCCCTCACCCTGATCCAGTCAAGCTCACAGGATTCAGGGGACAGGGACAGGCCACAGCTTGGGCTGGGGAGTTGCCCAGGCTGGCACATGGGAATCCTCGCCAGCCTGACAGCCATCATGACATCAGCTCACATTCACTCCCACCAGCATCGAATCCAGCAAGCTTGCAGCCGCCTCTGCTCACCCGAGCCATCTCCATCTGGCAGGTGAGGAAACTGAGGCACATGCAGGGAGGTGAAGTGAAAAGCCAGAAGGCAGGAGAGGAGCGTAGAGGAGAGCCCCGCAGAGCCAAGGGAGGCTCTTCCAAGTGCAGAGGGGCCCAAAGCATCGCCTAGGCCTGTGATCTCTGGGCAGGTTGGAGTGTCCCCTCTGCCTGGCATTTGAAGCCCAAGGCCATCTGGATCCCCCAAACACACACCCTCCTGCTCCATGTGCCCTCAGTCCTGCCATCCTCTGCCAAGGGGGTCCTGACTCTCGGATCCCACCCACCGACCATAAAAGCAAGCTCCAAGGCCCAGGCTCTCCAGTCTGCACAATCCCCTCACCCCAGCACCCTCAACCCCAGCGGGGGTCAGCGGCAGCACAGAACACATTGTGTCACCAGGCAGAACCCACGGAATCACAACAGCAAGACAAGGTCATCGGGGCCCGCACCACCATGGGCCATTCCCCCAGCCATCCAAGCTTGCAGGTGTTACTGACACGATCCTGCCTAGGCCCACAGAGATCAGTAAGTGGGCCCCCACGAGCATGGGGGCAGAACCGGAGATGAACACCACCCCGTCAGAGCCATTCAAATGGACAGTCCCTGGCCCAGCTGCCAGTGAGGGGAGGGACGAGGAGGGGAGCGGAGAGGATTGGAGGGGAGTAGAGGGGAGAGGAGGGGTCACCTCCTGTCCTGTTCTCCCTCCCAGGGCCCCAGCTTGTCCTCTAGGGTCCTCCCCAGTATGTGGGGGAGGGGTCTGCTTATCCCTGCCCCCTCATGGGATCCCCAAACTGAGCCTGATCCTGCTCGATAGGCCATTCCAGGTGCTCCAGGTCCTGGGGGGCCCACAGCCCACAGCAGAGCAGGCTGGAGTCTCCGTCTTCCCAGCCCGTCCTCCCAGCCCAGGACTCGCTTTTGTGCCCTGCTTCTGCCCAGCCAAGCAACCTGTTCCTCTTGGCCTCAGTTTCTCAATGTGCAAAGTGGGTATGAGTCCCTGACCTCATCTACCAGATTGTGGGAGGGTAAGTGGTAAGAAAAGTGAAAACAGAAGGGTCGCAGGGCCACCAGATTTGCATGTCCCCAGCCACATCTTCCTGTGTGCCGCAGAGGGAACACTGAGCTCGAAGGACCCCAAGCCCACCCCCAGGACTGGGAGGGCACAGAGCCTGGCCTAGGCCCAGTGCCACAAATACTCTTTCTCCAGGGACACGCTGCCTCCTCCTAACTCAGCTGGGCACATCACGAGTGCTGCCGGGCTCACCACCAGCAAAACACCCCCGCCTGGCAGCCGTCACCTCCTGAGCCTCCTCAAGGGACGCCCTGCTTACAGGGGCCAGCCATCCCCACGGGGCTTCTAGCACTGGCCCCATAAAGCCACCTGCCAAGGGTGCCAACAAACTCTTCAGCGAACCCTGGTTCACAAACCAAAAACATTTCCTGCCCCAGGTTCTGACTGGGACACAGGGATGTGGGGAGAAGAGGGCACTGCTGGACACAGGATGAGGCGGGACGTCAGCTCTGCCCTGGGCCAGAACACCAGTGGGACACAGGATGCATCACACAAGGCCTCAGACCTCCAGAAACCAGGAGCAAGAGCAGCCGGACGCCCGTGGAAGCCAACACTGATGGGCTGTGCCCAGCTCTCTGGCCAGGGTCATCTCAACCTCCACCCCCACCCATGACACCCCCATCCTCAGAAGAGGAAACTCGATCCAGAACCCCCTAGCTTCCCCGGTGGCAAAAGAGGAAGCCAGAGCCTGCAGAGCGCTGATACGGGACTGTCCCAAGGTCAGTCAGGGTCTTCCTGGGCCCGGAGGCTCATGCCCCCACTCTGTGAATCACCCGCTGGTCATTTTCACAGGCCACCCTAGGGTTGATCTGTTTGGTCAAACAACTATGCTGGTAGATGCCCTAGAAAGTTGGTGGCAATTAGATGTGCCAGACACTGAGCTAAACAGTTCACGCAGACATCTCCTATCTGCCTCAAGATGACCGGGCAGTTGAGCTATTACTGTTCCCTCTTGGCAGATACAGAAATCAGTGGTTCAGAGAAGTTAAGTCCACTGCCCAAGGTCACACAGCTCAAAAGCAGACGTGCAGATTCAAACCCAGACAACCTGCATCCCAAATCCCGCATTTCGACCCTGACTCTAAAATGCCACATTCGGCTGGGCATGGTGGCTCACGCCTGTAATCCGCCTTTGGAGGCCAAGGCGGGTGGATCACCTGAGGTCTGGAGTTCAAGACCAGCCTGACCAACATGGTGAAACCCCGTCGTTAAAAGTAAATAAATAAATAAAATGTCACATTTTGCCCACCTCCTCTCCCGAGTGCCTGAGAGGACCGGGGACAGGTGAACCCCGGTGTGGCCCTTGCTGGGGCAGGCTGGGCTACTGGGGTGGGTGCTGGGGACTCAGGGGTGACAGAGCTCCGGTGGCTCCCGCGTGCTGGGCGCAGGCGGCGTTGCAGGCACGATCCCAGGCGCGCTCCACGCACCCTCCCATTCCACCCTGCCCGACGCCGCCGGCGTCTCCCCCACTCTACAGAGGAGCCAGGCTCCAGGGAGGAGGCGGCTTGGCCCTGGGGGCGACAGCTGGCAAGGAACGGCAGCTGGGGAGGCAGCTCAAGTCGACCCGACGGGAGGCGAGGTGTGGGAAGGGGACCACGGGACTCAGGCTTGCCCACGCCGCGCAGCCACTGCCCACAGAACCGCGCGAGGAACGCTGCGGCCCGGCCTCAGTTTCCCTATTTGCGAGACCGGCGCCGGACATCGCCTGGACACCTTGCCCCAGAGCCCTCCCGGCCACGCAGAAGGCTGCCAGGTTCTCCCTGCCCCCAGAATTTTGAAGAACCCCGAAGTGCGGGGGGAAGGCGGGCGGCCACGGAGCTGCTGGCGGGAGGGGGCTGCACGGGCGAGGGCGGGCAGATCGCGCTCCCCGCAAAGCGGCCTCCGCCCCCCCCACCCCCGCCTCCTCCTTTGTCCCGATCTCGCCGCAGCGCCGCGGACAAAGAGCCCCAGCTCGCGGGCGCGGCCCCCAGAATGGACCCTCCCCCGAGCCGCGCCCGCCGCGCTGCCCCTCCCCCGCCCGCAGACCCCGGCCCGGCCCCGCCGCCTCGCGCGCCCCTCCCAGTCCGGGTCGCCCCCTCCCCGCCCCAGGGCCCCGCGTCCCCGGCCGGCTTGTGCGCGCGGCCCGCGCCGCCCCGCGCCGCCCCGCGCCGCTCCGCGCCGCTCACCATGGCGCGGGATCGCCCCGCAGCAGCCCCGCGGGCCCGGCTCCGCCCGCCCGCTCGCCCGCCCGGTCCGGCCGCCGCGCACTCGGGACGCAGGAGCCCCGGGCTGCGGCGGGCGGGGCCCGACTCCTCCCCGGCTGGGGGCGGGGCCTCCCAGAGAGACCAATGGGAGTCTGAACTGGGACGCCGGGGCGGGCCGGGGCGGGCCGGGACGGAGTCACGTGCGCTTGGGGCCGGCGGGCGGCGGGGTTGGGCCTGCGCGCGGTGGGCGGGGCAGGGGGCGGGGGGCAAGGGACGGGCATGGCGCGGGCGAGCTTGGATTGGGCGCCCTTGGGTGCTGGGCCCCTCTGCAGGCGACCTTCCTCCGCCCGCCTCACCCTGACCCCAGCAGGCTGCCCTGGTCCCGCCCGCTTACACCTGGGGAAACTGAGGCACGCTGCACGGAAGAGTGCTTCATACTTCCTGACAGCTGGGAGTGGCAGGGAATCCGGAGGAGAGGCAGGGAAGAGGCGCGACCGTTGAGGTGAATGACCTTGCTTCCGGAAGGAGCTGGGCATTCTTTGTTTCACGAATTCATTCACGTTTCATCCGCCCGTTCAGTTGATGGCGAAAAACTGACCACGTGCCTGCCACGCCAGTCGTCGTGGGAACGGCTACGAGCCAGACAAGGTCCCGGCCCTGATGAAGCTCTCATTCCGCTGCCGTGTTGGGCTGTGAGACACTTGCACCCCTCAGCCACCTATAATGATGGTTGTTTTTAGCATAATAACCTGGTGGTTTGGCTCCCGCCAAATGCCTGCCCTGTATAAACAGCCCAACACGTTTTATTAAGATGACTCCGAAAGAAAGAAAGCATCTTCACAGATGAAGAATCCGGGGCCCCAGAGAGCTGAAGTCCCATAGCCTGCTACTGATGGAAAGGGGAATTGAGGCCAGGCGTATCTGCCTAGGAACACAGAGGCGTTAAGACGGGGTTTTGCTCTGTCACCCACGCTAGAGTGCCCTTGTGCAATCACAGCTCAGTGCAGCCTCCATCTTCTTCCTGGCCTCAAGCCATCCTCCCACTCAGCCTATATCCATGAATGTGGACAGATTTGACAAAGCATTTTTTTTTTTCTTTTTTAGAGACAAGGTCTTGCTCTGTCCCCCAGCTGCAGTGCAGTGGTGCAATCATAGCTCACTGTAACCTTGAACGCCTGTGCTCAAGCGATTCTCCTGCCTCAGCCTCCCAACTAGCTGAGACTACAGGCATATGCCACCATACCTGGCTAGTCTTTTAGTTTTTTGTAGAGATGGGGTCTCTCTTTGTTGCCTGAGCTGGTCTCAAACTCCTGGGTTATCCTCCTGCCCTGGCCTCCTGAAGTGCTGGGATTATAGGCATGAGCCACCGTGCCCAGCCTGCCCATTGTGAAATTGTACATTTTCGGCAGTGTGTGATGAACTTTTGGTCTGTCTCTCCCAGGACTAGGTATATGGCACTCACTGCCGTGTCTACAGAACAGTGCCTAACTTGCAGTGGGAGCTGAATACATGAATGTTGAATGAACGAACATCAAATTCCAGTTCCTGCAGACTCCAGAGCTGGTCCAGCGGCAGCCTAGCCAGGAGGCCAGGCCCAGGAGGTGAGCTGGGGGTTGAGCAGGAAGGTAGGGCAGAAAGGCAGAGGGGAGCCCAGCTCCAGCCAGCTGCCCCACAGGCCAGAGCCAGGTGTCTCAGAACAGCTCCGCTCCCACGTCTACCCAGCTCCTGCCCCATCAGCCACACCTGGGAGCCTCCAGCGTGGCAGGAAATAGGTTCTTCCCAGGAAGCCAGTTCCAGCAGCCTCTGTGGTCCCTGCCTTAGTTGGCAGAGACTCCATTAGTAGTGAGGACCTGGGAGGGGCAGGCTAAGAACCCCAGAGCCAGGGCTGGCAACATGATGACAAGGGAGGCAGGGGGAAAGATTCTGGGAGGAAAATGGTGAGTGCGAGTCGGCATGGCATGAAAGCTGAGAGTCAGACTGCCAGATTCAAATCCAGGCTTTCCTGCTGGGTGGCTTTGGACAAACAGCCGAACATTTCTGTGCCTCAGTTTTTTTCATCTGAAAAATGGAGATGAGGCTGGGCACGGTGTCTCATATCTGTAATCTCAGCACTTTGGGGGATGCCAAGGGAGGGGAATGGCTTGAGCCCAGGAGTTAGAGACCAGCCCTGGAGATATAGTGGGACTCCCATCTTTAAAAAACAAAAGTTAGGCCAGGCACGGTGGCTCAAGCCTGTAATCCCAGCACTTTGGGAGGCCGAGGCGGGTGGATCACGAGGTCAAGAGATCGAGACCATCCTGGTCAACATGGTGAAACCCCGTCTCTACTAAAAATACAAAAAAAATTAGCTGGGCATGGTGACGCGTGCCTGTAATCCCAGCCACTCAGGAGGCTGAGGCAGGAGAATTGCCTGAACCCAGGAGGCGGAGGTTGCGGTGAGCCGAGATCGCGCCATTGCACTCCAGCCTGGGTAACAAGAACGAAACCCCGTCTCAAAAAAAAAAAAAAAAAAAGTTAGCTGGCTGAGGTGTTGCACGCCTATAGTCCCAGCTACTGGGGAGGCTGAAATAGGAAGATTGCTTGAGCTCAGGAGGTTGAAACTGCAGTGAGCTGTAATCACACCACTGCACTCCAGCTTGCGTATCAGAGTGAGCCCTGTCTCAAAATTAAATTAAAATAAAATAGATAAAATAAAATAAAATACAGCCTCTGACCCAGTAGGTCTGGACCCAAAATCTTGCATTTTGCTTTTTCTTTTCTTTCTTTCTTTCTTTCTTTTTTTTTTTGAGGTGGAGTTTTGCTCTTGTCCCCCCAGGCTGGAGTGCAGTGGTGCAATCTTGGCTCATTGCAACCTCCGCCTCCTGGGTTCAAGCAATTCTTCTGCTTCAGTCTCCTGAGAGCTAAAATTACAGGCACTCGCCAACATGTCCGGCTAATTTTTTGTAGTTTTAGTAGAGACGGGTTTCATCATATTGGTCAGGCTGGTCTTGAACCCCTGACCTTAGGTGATCCACCTGCCCCGGCGTCCCAAAGTGCTGAGATTACAGGCATGAGCCACTGCAACCGGCCTTTAATCATGCATTTTTCAAAAGCTCCCGAGTGGTCCTGATGATTCAGGGACTGCACTTTGAGCAGCAAGGGCAAAGTCACTTGCTGAAAATCACAAGGTAGCGGGCTATAAGCCTGCATTGGCACCCATGAGGTAGGCTACAGGATCCTACACTTAACGGCAACCCTCACTGCCTGCTGCAGCCCTACCTTTCTCTTCCTAGCAAAGAGGAGGCAGGGCCGGGCGCGGTGGCTCACGCCTGTAATCCCAGCACTTTGGGAGGCCGAGGCGGGTGGATCACAAGGTCAAGAGATCAAGACCATCCCGGTCAACATGGTGAAACCCCGTCTCTAACAAAAATACAAAAAATTAGCTGGGCATGGTGGCACGTGCCTGTAATCCCAGCCACTCAGGAGGCTGAGGCAGGAGAATTGCCTGAACCCAGGAGGTGGAGGTTGCGGTGAGCCGAGATTGCGCCATTGCACTCCAGCCTGGGTAACAAGAGCGAAACTCCGTCTCAAAAAAAAAAAAAAGAGGAGGCAGGAAGTATCTCGCCCCTCCCCCAAGCCCATTTCCTCTACCTCCCTTTGTGGTGACATCTGACCTGGAGTCCTGGGGTTCATCCTTACAGAATGGGATGGAGGTTCTCAGATGCTCATTAGCCAAAAAGATAATTAAGGCCATGGGATGAGCTCACCCCAGTTCCCTGGGGCTTGCTGGGGTCCAGCTGGTGTGCCCTCTGCCAGCCTGGCCCTGTGCCCACTCCCCCAGCCGCTATAAGGGCTGGGACAAGGAAGGGGCTTGCTCAGGGGTTGGAGAGGCCTTAGCCTCAAGGGAAACTCTGCAGCTGGGACTCCCCGAAGAGCCCACAGCCATCGGGTGGGCAGGCCTTTGCTCCTGGGGCATCTCCATAAGGGATCCAGGCCTGAAAACAAAATGAAAACTGCGTGGCCAGAGGGGATTTTCCTGCAGGGTGAGATGTGAACCACTGGTGAGGTCTGCAGAGTGAGGTTACGGAGAAGGCAGAGAAGGCGTCACCCAGCTCTGAAACCCACAGCAGCTCCCATTCCAGGGGCAAAGCAGCCTCTCTTGCTGTTAGTGCGGCCTGAGCATCTCTCTAAGGCTGGCCCAACCCCCTTCTGTCTAGGAGAGAGCGCAGACCTCAGGCTCAGAATCCCGGGCAGTCGACACTCTGCAGCTAGAATTGAACCATGTGTGGGTTTCTGTGTGTATGTTTCAGTTGCTTTCTGTGTATGGTGTGGGTATTGTGTTTCTGTTTATGATAATGACGTAACCGTTGCTTTTTATTTCTTCTTTTCTTAGTTCTTGAGGCAAGGTCTCAATTTTTTACTGAGGCTAGAGTCCAGTGGCACCATCACTGCCCACTGCAGCCTTGACCGCCCTGGATCCTCCCACCTCAGCCTCCTGAGTACCTAGGACCCCACTCAGCCTTTTTTTTTTTCTGAGACAGGGTCTCATTCTGTTGCCCAGGCTGGAGTGCAGTGATGAGATCATGGCTCACTGAAACCTCTGCCATCCAGGCTCAATCAATTCTCCCGTCTCAGCCTCCTGAGTAGCTGCGACTACAGGTGTGCTACCACACTGGGCTTATGATTATTATTATTATTTTGACATGGAGTCTTGCTCTTGTCACCTAGGCTGGAGTGTAATGGTATGATCTCAGCTCACTGCAACCTCCACTTCCTGGATTCAAGTGATTTTCCTGCCTCAGCCTCCCAAGTAGCTGGGATTACAGGGACCTGCCACCACACCTGGCTAATTTTTTTTTTTTTTTTTTTTGTATTTTTAGTTGAGGCAGGGTTTCACCATGTTGGTCAGTCTGTTCTCGAACTCCTGGCCTCAGTGATCCACCTGCCTCAGCTTCCCAAAATGCTGGGATTACAGGCATGAGTCACCGCACCCGGCCTATTATTTTTTTCTGTAGAGATAGGATCTCTCTATGTTGCCCAGGCTGGTTTTGAACTCCTGGGCTCAGCGATCTGCCTGCCTTAGCCTCCCAATGTGCTGGGATTACAAGCATGAGCCACAGCGCGCAGCCCCATTGCTTCTTG